TCAATTTTGGGTATTTTGGCAAAATTTGGGAATTTTAGCCAAATTTGGGTATCAAGGGCAGTTAGGTAATTTGGAGGTGCCTAGGGGCAAAAGACCAAGTTAAGCATTCCACATAGAATTGGATAAATATCCATTCTAAATGAAGCATGGATTAATGTATTGTGAAGATATGGTGTATCCTAGTTCTAAGTCAACACCCAGGGTCAATCCTAAAGCCAAGTAATCGTATAGGGACTCTTCTTGAATTCTCTTATAATGATCTTACCTATTAAATGCTAGAGGTTAAGATCAATATGTGGAATTTCAAGTTAAATAAAAAGAAGAGTTTTGAATTTCTAATAATGGGGTACCTCTTCTAGTTTTCTAAGACTAGTCAATAGGAAAGTCCTATGGCTAGACCTAGGCTACTAAAGAAGTTTTCTAGACCTCAACCAAAAGTGAGGTCAACATGCAATTTGGAGCAAAAACGAGCAAGAAATGAAATTTTGTCCTGCCACTTTTCGATAAGTCTTTTGATGTTTTATATCTTTTACACTTCTTGCATATTTTAGAATAAAATTACACTTCAAAGAAATTTTTTTCATGCTTATTTTGTAGGGCTATCTGTTAGGAATACGACACAACTGAAATGGGGCGAAACGGTGCTAAAACGGAGCAAAACGGTGAAGTTATGCAAGATTTTATGAAATCTGCTCGCCGACGGCGCCCAAAATGGCGCCGACGGTGAGATTACCTGAGAAGACCAAAAAATGACAGAAGAGCTCGCCGAAAGCGCCTTCGAGCCCGCCGACGGCGCCCGGGACGACTATGGACCGACTTTTGGCGGTTATGGGCCCAGATTCAACGTATTTGGACAAGGATTCTTGTGGCAACTCTTCAAACTTCATCCCTACACTTTAAAAGAACGAATTTAGGTTAGAAAAAGTTGGTTTTTTGTGAGAGAAATGTTAGGAAAAGTGTGAAGAAAGTTTGGGGTTAGAATAGGAGTAGAATTGTAGAATTCTACCTTTTTGGAGAGATTGGAGATGAGATTTTGAGAGAATTTGTAAGGAGATGTTATAGGGACTTTGTGGGGGAGATATTCATCTTTCTTTCAAAGGGAAAAAACTAAGTATTGTGTTCTTCATTATCTTTTGATTTTTGTAAACATATATCTATTGGATTTGTTTTGGCTAAATGAAATTTCCGTTGTGTTTTTTTCGTGCTTTGTGATGGTCTTCTTTTACTCTCTCTTCTTGTATGGAAATAATGGTATGAGAAGATTATGTTGTTGTTTTCAGTTGTTTTCATTTTACTTTTCTTTTTTTTTGTAATGAGTAGAATTCATGTTTAGGATTTTGTGATGCATGTTAGAAGCGGATTTAATTATCAATGTGATGGTTTTTACTTACACTTTATTTACATTACAATAAAGGTTTGTTGTGGTGTTAAAATTCGTTGTAATTACATTAAGACCCGATAGGGTTGTGTAATTCTCAACAAAGTATAACCACATTCAGATTCTATGGATGGTTAAGTTCATGGGAGTTGAATGCAAATAAATAGGGAATTCACTTTAATGGGCGTAATACTTGGATGGGCGTAGAATTGGAGACTTTAGGGTGACAGACTAAAATTCCCAATTCGGTCCTATTGTTTGAGCACTGAAGCGGGGATGTTATCCCTCAGGCGAGGGGAACGTGAGAGCTCTGAGGGAAGTGGGAGCTCTGGAGTGAGAGCTAGTATCCTCCCAGCCTAACCGTGGATTTAGGGACTAAACATAAGATTAACCAATGTTCTTTATAGCACTCGAAAGAGGGTAAAGAATGGGATTACTCCTATTTAGCATATACACTATTTAATGCATCTCATTCCTTTACATTATCCAATTTACTACATAAGAATAATAGTTTTTAACCTATCTAAATTCTCCAAACCAATTCATCCAAAAGGGGTTATCTTTAGAATTAACATTTACATTTAGGAATAGTTATTATCATTACATTTAACATTTGTATTTAGAAGTAGTTGTTAGATAAAACACCATTTTAATCGACATTCCAATCTAAAGCCTGATAGTGGTATACTAGAACTTTGACTAAGGACCTCTTACCTCGCTTTCTTGTGGGATGATAAACGACACTCCATTAGAGCCCTGTATTACTTGAGCGATACGTATACTTGCGTTTATATCATTGTGACTATATAAAATATATAAAATTAATCCAAAAAATAAAGTCCGCATCAAGTTTTTGGCATCGTTACCGGGGATTAAAATCTTCAAGTAGTGGCGTCAACTTCATGATTTTAGGTATATAAAAAGTCACTGTCAAGTTTTTGACGTCGTTGCCGAGGATTTAAATCTTCTAGTAGTGGTGTCAAATTCTTATATTTTTAAGCATATAAAAAGTCACTGTCAGTTATCCAAAAAATTTACGGCAGTAAACTAACGAATTATCGTCCTAACGTTGTACGAGAATTCTGCTCACACTTAGATAAAATTTTTACTTGGAAAGCCCGTAAAAGGAAAAACTACGGGGTCTGGTCCATTTACGAAAATTCACTATTGATTGATGATTACAAAAATCACTTGTACCACAAACGGGAAATGGTAACTATATTCTTAGGTTACAGTGTCGACTGAAGGCGTCCAGTTGGTGGTGATTGGTGATGATTGATGATAATCGATGGTGGTTAGCGGTGAACTACGACGGTTGGTGAAAGTCAACGAAGATCGACAGTGTTCAACGACAGTTGAAATTGATCAACGATGGTAGATGGTCGTCGACGGAGGTTGGCAGTGGTCGTCGGCGGACGACAATTATCACTGGCGGTCGGCGGTTGTCGTTGGCGATCAGTCGTTGTCGCCGGCGGCCGGCGGCGGTCGGCGGGTGGCTGAGCTGCAACTTCTCCTCAAGTCCTAAGGCTCTCTCTCTAGGTTTTAGCTTCTTCTCATGAGAGAGAGAGCCTTAGGTCATGATTAATAATATTTGTTAAATTTAAAAATTATATGGAATGATAGATACGAAAACAAAAACTCAGTCACCTCATCTGAGACATGAAGTCATTAGTCATTAGTCGTTTGTACTAAATGTTTGGTTGATTGAGGAGTCGTCGCATATCTTTCTTAGTCAATATAAATAATAGAAATGCATTAATTTAAGTCCACCCAAACTTTGAAAGCACCTCTAAAGACCTGTAAAGACCAAATATTCATCATTCATTAAAACATTCTAAAATATATGCACTAACACCCTTCAAATGAAGCAAAATGTGAAATTTGATTATACGGGTGCTTTAAGAAATGTGCACACTGTCTGAGAATGTTTTGCTGTTATGCCTAGAATAAATCAAATTAACCTCATGTGCTCTTCCTTAAGCACTTCATTTTCAAAGATTTCATATGCTAAACTAACCAAAGCTACAGATAGTTTCTCTACTTCGTCTCTTGTTGGATCTACTTCGTCTCTTGTTGGATGTGAAAGATACGGTTCAGTTTATAACCTTGAACTGCATGGAGCTTTTAAGAGTTTCACATCTGAATGTGTTGCTCTAAAAATCATACAACATCGCAGAGTTCTAACCTCATGCTCTAGCATTGATCACAAAAGCAAACATTTTATAGCACTTTTTTTGAATTTGTGCCAAACTAAGAATATGAGACTAATGGAGATGATTTTTTTTTTCTAGAAAAGAGATTGAACATTATCATCGATCGATGTTGTAGATGCTTTAGAGTATTTTTATCATAGTTGTGAACCGTCAATCATTCATTGTGATAAAAAGCCACATAAAATCCTACTTGACGATAACATGGTTGCTCACCTATCAGATTTTGGACTATCAGGAATATTTTCTAAGCCTTTGAGTTCATCAATTTGAAATTATTCCAACACAAATGAGATTAAAGGAACTATTGGATATACTGCCTCAGATGGTGTGATGAATCCACTAGTTTATCTTATATAATTTTGTCATCATTTTCAATGTATTATAGCCATTTTAAGTGATGATTATTTAAGAAAAAAATTCTCATTTTATTTGTAAAATATGGAGAAGGAGCTTGCCAGTTTACCTCTACAGATGTTTATAGTTTTGGAATAATACTATTAGAGATACTTACTAGAAAAAGACCTGCCGATAGTATTTTTAACTATAACTTAAAAATATATAAACACGTTAAAATAGCATTTTCACTTAAAATCAATAGCATCATAGGTCTCAAAAGAGCAAAACATCAACAGTGTTTGCTTTCCTTGGCAGCATTAGGTCCATTATGTTGTGCTTCATTACAAGAGGAAGGGTTTTACATGAGAGATGTTGTTAAAAAGTACATACAATTAGAGTTTCTTACCTTCAACCTGACTGAAGCATGGAGTTATCCAAAAAATTTACGGCAGTAAAGTAACGAATTATCGTCCTAATGTTGTATGAGAATTCTGCACACACTCAGATAAAGTTTTTGCGTGGAAAGCCCGTAAAAGGAAAAACCACGGGGTTTGACCCATTTACGAAAATTCAGTATTGATTGATGATTACAAAAATCACTTGTCCTACAAACGGGAAAGGGCAACTATATTTTCAGGTTACACTGTCGACTGAAGGTGTCTAGTTGGTGGTGATTGGTAATAATTGGTGATGGTCGATGGTGGTTAGCGGTGAACGACGACGGTTGGTGGAAGTCAACAGAGATCGACGGTGTTCAACGACGGTTGACAGTGATCAATGACGGTAGATGGTGATCGACACAGGTCGGTAGTGGTCGTCGACGGACGGTAATCGTCATTGGCGGTCGGCGGTTGTCTTTGGCGATCGTTCGTTGTCGTCGGCGGTTGATGGTCGGCGGTCGACAGTTGGCTGAGCTGCAACTTCTTCTCAAGACCTCAGGCTCTCTCTCTCTCTAGGCTTTAGCTTCTTCTCATGAGAGAGATACAGCTCTATTTATAATGTTTTGGGTGCAATTAATGCAGGAATATGAATCATTTTAATCAGACGGTCTGGAGAGTTTCCCTCAATGATACGATGTTTAATGGGCATTTGAGTGCCTTAATGATGTTGAAATTGAGTTATCTTATGCTCGTTGGATTTTTCTTGTCGAGAGGCTCAATTCAAGTTTAAACTTTTCATATTTGACAACCGTTTGACCTTCCAAATGTGTGTGAAAATCTTTAAGTGTTGTTCAATGACTTGATATGGGCTTGATTTGACTTGGATTGGACTCTTTTTCATTTCATTAGGTATGTCTTATCAAGCCGGTCAGTTTGACTATAAGTTTGTTGAAATTAGAGTTCTGGATGACTTTTTTAGTAAGATTTTAAATGTTTCTTGCATAAAATATCGTCATGAAATTCATGACATGCCTCAAGATTCGTGCCGAATGATTAAAATTTGTTGATGACATATCAGTTGCCCCTTATTTTTGGGCGACCCTACTTTCGGACGAGAGTATTTTTATCGTCCGAAAATATTAATATCTAGAATATTTATGTAAGTACGTATGTATGTATGTATGTATGTATGTATGTATGTATGTATGTATGTTATATATATATATATATATATATGTATGTATGTATGTATGTATGTA